CTTATCAAAATATGAGAATTTCTGACTGGTTCATTGTTTCTAATAAAAAAATACTTCAAGCTGCAGGTCTCATTAGAAAACTTGTAATCAAGATAATTTTATTTTATAGAGAATTGTTCATTTTGTCATTTTGATTTATTTTAAACAAGTTGTTTCAAAAGATTATTAACTTTATTGGTATTGGAGTGTAACTAGTTTGTGCTTTTATAACAACATAAAGTCTTTTCTGAATGGCCTGAAGGCCATGATGGCTCACCATTATCTGACCCAGTGAATACCTCATTGCTTCAGAAAGAATCATTCTGAATGATTCAGCAAAACATACAGACAAGATAAAAACTGTATATGCGGGAGAGTTCAATGGCAAATGTATCCCGGAATCTAAAATAATAATTTTAAAAAAACATAAAGAACATCCAATATAAGCCAAAAAAAAAAAACTTGTTTTTCTAGAAAATATGATCTGCATTGCCAAGAGAAAAGTGAAACTTTCTAGCAGGTTTGCGAAACATTATATTTGGTGCCAAACTACGACAACATTTTTTAGAAATAGAACATTATGCTAACAGTCAAAGATGGTGAAGGCATTGTGATTATATCGAGGTGCCTTTCTATTTAAGGAAATGACAATCTGAAATATTTCATGGAACGTGACTACTGCTCTCCACCACAAATCCTGAAAGACAAGATCAAGTCATTTATGTGTGACCTTATGCTCCAGCGTACTCGGGTAAGGCACCACGACAATTATTCAAAGGTCAGTGACAGGCTCATTTTTGAATGGCTAACATTAACAAGACAATAGGACTTAAATCCAATTGCGATATTGTGGCAGGACATACATGCTTGAAAATCCCATCGCTGTGACTGATCTAAAACAAGTCTGCAAAGAGGAGTCGACCTAAATCGATCAGCTATGATGTAAGAGATTAATTTACAGTTTTTGCAAATGCTTGACAGCTGTTGTTGCCAACTTGATTGGTGCAAGTATTATTAGGTTTAAGGGGTAATTACTTTGTCGCAGAGTGCCAAATTATTTGGATAGCTTTGTCTCCTCAATTGCACGTTGTAATTGTTCAGACTATTAACTTTATTTATTGCTTTTCAGTGATAATGTTTTAATAAAAACCATACAAGTGTGACAAAAACACCACTTTACACCCATTATCGCCCTAAACAGTGATGATTTTTTTATTATCATATGATGATAAAAATTACTATTTTTACTGCAGCATTTAATTAGGACAGCACTTTCAACGAACTCTGCTGCAGCCCGTTCCAGTCTGATGATTCTTTATCTGTTTACACGACAAAGAAAGAGCCAGTTTGTGGGGTTTTCATCTTTTTCATCTTTGTCCATGCAACCATTCATCCCATCAACACACACTCATTTATGCACACTTCCCTTAAAGGGATTATGAAACATTGGGTTGGAAAAGACAAAAGGAGAAAGATGAACCCATGATCTATAAATGTTTAACGAGAGCAGGCAGTGAACATAAGCCATGCTTGAAGAAGGAGAACAAGGACAGAGAGAGGGATGGAGAGGTGAAGAAGGAAGACAGTGCCAGAGAAGATGAGTGAGAAGCAAAATGGGTGGCTGGTAGAGAGCAAGAAGTGGAGAATGGTCTAATTATAGAAGCAGACATCAGAGCATAGCCAGAAAGCAACAGACAGAAAGGGGAAAGAGCAGGAGATTTGGGGGGGAAAAGGGCCGTAATAGGAGGTGTCTGGTGTTTGTCTAACACAGTAAGGCCAGTAATGATTCCATTAGAGCTTCAGACCAAGACAGAAAAATAGAGGGAGAGATGGAAAGAGTGGAAGGGACGGGGTGTGAATAAGAGGCACGCTAAGAGATCAAGATTCACAAAGAACATTTGAAGACAATGTTGAGTATTGGAGTAGGGAAGTGACAGAGAGGAAGGAAACCTAGACCTACAAAAAAGACCAAGAGGGAGAAAACTCAGGCCCTCCATTAAGTGGCTTGCTCACCTCCACGTTGATTATACAAATGAAACTCCAGGCCTTTCTGTGTTTCTCTCTCCCACACTCACCCCTTTGTGCGAAAGCAAACTAGAGAGGATCATTTGAATGCATTAGTGGCACGTGTCGTCCCCATGGTAGACTTCCAGATTGTGTCGGGGCAGGAACCTTTTGTTCAGAGCTGATGCAGAGCGCTGAGAGGAGCTCTTTAGAAGTGCAAGCTTCGTTCTCACAAGGACACATTAAAGCGCAACGCACCAAGCTGCCTTACTGCTCTGCACCCTCTTATGTCTTTTATGAATCTGCTTGTAAAAAGATGGCTGATTATGGATGCAGTTACATTAGCTGGCTAAGTGAGTTTTGACAAGAAAAACGGGAAAAACACCACAGAAATAGAAACATTTTTATGGCTTGAAAAAAACAACCCAGCACAAGCACCATTGTTATTCGGGATAAAAGAAATTGTGTGGCATTATTTTATGAGCAACAAAAACCCATGGGATTTGATTTGCTGACATATGCGGGGTACAAAATTCTCTTACTTTGTGGTGGTGAAACTGCAGTTCTATGCAAGTGTTCTCCAATAAATGATAAAACCAAATACTTCAACAGTACACAGCTGCCAAATCCCAACACCTTTTTTAGACCTAAATCCACTCTAAGGTGGCATGATACAAAACCCCTTCTGGTTCATATCCAGCACTATTTTTGGTTGATGCATGTGCAAAGGTAAGCCCACTCTTCCAGTTCAGGATGGTGCACAGAATAACAAACGACATATAATCTATATGCAAAGATTTCAAAGTAAGGTGTTAAGCTTAAGATAAGGCATCTGTCCATTTGTGTCTATCTCCCAAGCAATATCATCCAACTCATTGCAGGGGTTCCCACACTGTTGCAGGCCATAAATGATATATATTTCCATACTTGCCCAGGAGGCATCTAAATAGGATCTATTACTATTTTCAGATGAAGCAGAGCCACAGAATGGTGACAAAATTCCTCTCCAAGTCTTTGTTTGGCCCCCTATTTCAGCTGCTTGTATCCAGATGTTCCACTTTTCCATTGTTGACAGTTTGAAAATAATATTTCTAGTGAATTGAGAGCTTTGCTTTTTAGCTTAGCTCTTTACTCACAATGATAGTCAAGAGCGCTTCACTTGTCTCGAAGGACCTTCAGGCCCATGTGTCTGTCTTCCCGTAACTCAGTAGACAAGGGCCACATACATTTTCTGACCTATGACCTCAATGTCAATGAGACTGTATCATTTCAAATCAATCAAGCACAGAAATATAAACTAGCCATTTGCCATTGGGTTAAAAAGCTAGCTTGTTAAATCTCGGTCTATTCTCTTTGGAGTGATAAAGCCAAAGGAACCAAGTGATGAATTCATGGAGGTCAACCGTTTCACACCATAAAGCTGTATCTTAGTCCCAAAATGTAGAAAGTCACACAGACCAGCACAGTGAGGTTTGTGAAATCATTTGAAAAGCTGTCAGTGAGATCACCTGATATAACCACAGCAGACAGACAGGCAGACAACTCAGCAGTCTGTGTCTCATGATTGAGATGCAGCCAGCATTCTGCCACGATCTGTGCGCATTACCAGTCTGCAAACTGCAGAGCACATTTTGTTCTTATTCACTTGTCTCTAAGGACCAACTGCCAAGTTCCTGAGTGTCTTGGCGGCTGCTTCTCCAAAACAAGTGAAATTGCATCGTGTGCACCCATTTCTATTCTGTTGAGATGAATATCTGTGCTCCAATTTTCCCAAGGAAGTGAGTCCTCGGGGATAGGTGACAGCATGAGCATAATGCGGTTTCCTCAATTCAAAATGCACGCATGCACAGTATGCTTGCATGCACACACACACACACACATGCTAGCTTGCGCTCATGTACCACACACACTATTTGAGAGCTTTACAACTCCATAATCTTCCTCCACAAGGCATACCTTTTCCCTCCACAGCACACATCAGTGAACACTGCCTTATTCTCTCTCTCACACACACTCACACACACATGCACATAGTGTCTTTCTATATTTACAAGGACTTTGCATTGACTTCCATTCACTTTTCATTCATTTCTAGAACCTAACCCTGACCCTTACCCCAAACCTAACCTAAACTCAGTTCACACTGTAGTCCTAAACCCAGCCCCTAACCATAAAGCAGCACTTCATCTTACGGGGCCCAGGCTGTGCGTCCCTTAAGTTGCTCACGACATAAGCAACTATCGTAAAAACTGGGGCTTACAAGGTGAGAAATGTTAAGACACACACAAGCAGACACATGCATGCAACTCTACTCCATGGACATCAGATATTCCCCTTTGATAAACCAACACAGAGAAAAAGACTTTATGCTTTAAAGAAATGTCTACCTGTTTCTCTCTATTTGCTGTCTGTGCTTTGTCAGGAATGATGACACACAAAGTATCATCCTCTCCGTTCTGGGTTAATGGTCTAACTTAGAAGGCAGAGGCTTTTTTTTTCCCATTTGGGACTTTAACTTTTGTCTGTTGTGAAACATGTTGGCAACCTTTTGAAAATAATCTACATTCTCTCCATGCAACACGCATTATTAAATCTTGATACATGTAATCCTTGATTTGCTAGATATGCTAATAGGTGACCATTTTAGCTTCCTTTAAAAAGCATGAAATGCTCCTGTAAAGGATATGTTTGTGTATTATAGTTATTAAGGAAAACCTTCATTGGCTCATCAGAACTCTGGAGATCAGAATTCGCCCACAAATCTAATCTACTCTTAAATATTTCCTTAACTTTGACTGACTTGGTGACACATTGACATGTTTATGACTCTGTGGTGATTATACCACCACAGAGAGCATTGACAGCAAACTTACTGTGAAAAAAAAATCTGACTTTCCAGCAATAAAACATATCTGTTATGTCTGCATTATTTAATTTATGTCACTTTTTTTTAAAGACACACATATTTATTATCTAGTTCCATTCCACTCAACCCTCATCGTTCCCACCCAACTTACGTTGGCAGACGTCCTTGTTCTCCTCAAAGCCTGGTTTGCACACGCATCTCCCGATGGGGACAAGCCAGCCTCCGTCTGCGCTGCAGTACATCTTGGGCGGCTCAAACTCCTCAGAGGCATTTACACAAACTCCATGGACCTCCACCAGCGCCGTTTCCCCTCCTGTTATTGTGTCAGGAAATTGGGCCAAGTTGCGCACAGTCAGAGGACACTTCTTATAGAAGACCCTGACTGAGACCAAAGCGATACAAGCACCCAGGTCTTGGAAGGCCAGGTAGAAACCCTTTTTACTCAAGTTGCTGATGTCTCGCACTTCTGTGTTCAGCTTCAAGACACGGTCACCAACGTCCACCTGTGAATGAACAATGCATTTTCTGAGGTTAGTGCAGTGGTTCCCAAAGATTTTCTGGGCCCCCAATGAATTACCATAAAATTACGCCCCACACTTTACCATCAGTTATGACTGTGACAGGTTGTGTGAAATCCACACTCCTGGGTGAAGGTGTTTTACCTGAGAAAAGTTGTGTTCAGCTTTTCTTTTATTATTTCTGTTTAAAAATTGAAACATATCATTTGCCATTTAATGGAAAAGTGTATTTCCAGTTCATTGAGGCAGCTACTTTGAACAAGAACGATGTCCAGCAAATAAAATGAAGCTGAAAACATTGCAACAAAGATGTGCTGTCTTATCTTTCTGAGGCAAATTGTATGATGGCTAATCCTCAATATGGAAATGTTGGCGGTCTTGGAAATTTTGCAATTAAGGCTGCTGCTCACAGCGAGCAACGTTAACGTCAGTAATCGTATTAATCATTTTAAATACTAAAGTAAGAAACAAAATATATATTAAAATATCAAACTTGAAATAATTTTTGTTTCAATTCAGAAATATGTAATATTTAATTCTCTCCTGCATATATTCAGTGAACTGTTATCTTTAGTCCCAAATAAATAATGAATCACTCATGACAAAAGATACATATCAAATTAAGGAATAAAAGCAAAAAGAGTTGAGAAAGAGAGTAATCTTTTTTCTGCTAAATTCTTTTTTTGTTTAATTGTTTTATTTTCAAAAAATGTAATAAATTGTAGTTTTGCTCCCTCATACCTATTGAGGTGTGAAAAAGAGCTTCAGCATTGTCTTATGAAGGAGTAACATAATGTAATTCATTTTAGCTGGGTTCTTATTTTGATGGATTGCTCTGTCCCATAATTTGAGGGTAATGTAATAAAGCAGCAAGCAGGATTTTATTTTACTTGAAACATTTTTTAAAATGGAGATTTTTCAATTCATGTAGGACATGTAGTTTTTAAGGATCTTTCCCTTTTATGAAACATATCATCAAATTTGCAAATATAATTTTAAAAAATTAGTTCAATTCAAAAATAAGAATCATTGTTGATGTTAAAGGCCCTCATATATTTGTTTGCATTACATTGAATCTGAAGAGTGTCATCTGAGTTATCAATAATAAGATGACCAACTTATTTAACAGAACAGTTAACATTATAATCTGTCAACTATAACACTGGAACTGATTCATAAATGCCATTAAGTCTGTCAGTGTGTGCCCATACCTGTGTAAAGCTCTCATCTGCAGCAATAGTGTCAATCTTGACATACTGGCTTTCTTTGATGAACCACAGGTTGGCATTGTTGGACTCATAGTAGTACATGTTGAAAGTCTGCAGAACAAAAGCATCTGTCAATATTGAGGTTGGATGAATGTCAAGCAGGCTGACTTTTGAACGTTAACCAGTGACAAACTAGAATTTGCTTATTTGTTAAAATTCCTGCCAGGTGTCTGAATGTTGGGAAGTGTTTTCACTGTAATCCACATGTAGCTGTGTGGGTGTGTTACTTCAAATTCTCACTTCAGTAATCACATTGAGAAAATAATAAATTAATTAATAAGCCATAAAAAATATTCAAATACATGTAAAATTTTAGGAGTATCTTGTTTTGTCCGTTTTTGTTTTTTCTTGTCTGATAGTTCTTTATCTATTCATGAAGATAAAGAATATCTGTCAAAGTGCACTTCAGCTTGTATGTGTTTGTTTTTAGTGCTTGTTGAAGATAAAAGGCGGACAAAATGAAACAATGCTCTTTTGCTGCTCTGCAGCATAATGTGTTACGCTCAAGAGAAGCACTAATTTCATCCAAGTGATAATTAAATTACAAACATTTCAAGTCAACTCTCCATAAGCCTGACATGAATAAATATGTTAATGTGCTGCCTACGAACAAATTAAGAAGCCAAAATGTTGTAAAATTATCCAGCATAATGAATTAAATGTTTATTTACCGTTGAGGGACTCCATTCAGTTCCCATCATAAAAAAGCTAATCTTTTGTCTCTGAAACTTCCACTCCATGTGCTTAGGGCTTATTTATTGCCAATTTATAAATGTTTAAATCATAAAAATAGAATGTTTCCCCATATTTAAATTGTCAAAAGTAAGTCAGATTACTTTGGAAAAAAAAAAAACAACCTCTGATTCAAGTAGCCCAAAGAGGCAGATTAACAAATGTTCTTTAACTTTGTTTCAAATCTGACTGTGATATTGATTCTGCCTTTATAAAAGACAAAACAAATAGCTGTTTTTGTTCAAACGCTCTTCACAGCAAGCAATCACAGCAAGCAATCACAAAACAGCAGCAGATTTGCTGGACAACTTCCATGTGTGCAGGGCACCAAGAGCGAACAAAAAGTAACAAAAAGAGAAGATCAGGACACAGACATTTCTTATGTATCAAGCGCCCATGGTGTCCCTTTCATTGCCTGTGTGCAAAATGATGCAGACCTCTTTACAGGTGCCAGAGACCCCGGGCAGGCTGTTGCAGTCTCTCAGGGTGAATTTGATTTCGATGTAGACTCGCTGCGCTCCCTCCCGGCTGATGTGTCGCGTCCGCAGCCAGTTGTTTTGATTGGCCTCCATTACACTGCACACCTGGTAAGTCCTCATCGGGGTGTTCCTCTCATCCATCACGCTGATCTCCTCCCACTGAGAATGATAAACAAAGGGATGTGTTATCTTACTATTTCAATTGTATTTCAAAGCTGACTTGAGGTTTTAAGACACTATGAGATTATTGTAGTTTTTTTATGTACAGATGTTTCTAAATGCACCACAATATTCATTAAAAATATTTTCTTTCAACAATTATATTCAATAGGTGAAACTTACATGATATGTACAATTGATCCACTACTCTCCAAGGCTTACAGTTAATTAAAACCCAAAATTCTGTTTTTTGGGAAATCTGGGTTTCTTGCAAGTAACCTAAGAACATGTGAAAACACTTTTTTTAATACGGAAATGTTATTTTATGTCCTAGTTTTGGCTTAGACTATCATGAGAAACGCTGCCGACTTGACAGTTGTCCAGCACACCTTCCGCAAGGAGCACAAGACATAAAAAGTTATTGCTGAAAAAGCTGGTTATTCACAGTGTGCATATTAATGAAAGGTTAAAAAGGAAGGAAAAAAGTGAAAAAACGAGCAGAGAAGGGGAAAGGGTTGTAGGGTTGTGAAGCCAAACGCACTTAAAAGTTTTGGTGATTCACAAGGTCCAAACTGCAGCTGGGCTCCGAGCTTGAAAGTCGCCGTACAGACTGGGCTACAACTGTTGCAATGTTTGAAGTCATTAACTCTTGAAACTATTACAATCTCTGAAAAGTCTTGCTTTGACTTTTGATTTGGAAATTAAGGTTGCAGAGTCCGGAAGAACAGAAGAGGCACAGAGTCCCAGATGTTGGAAGTGTGAGGTGTCCAGAGTCGATGCTGATATTGTTTGCCATATTATTTGCTGGTTTCAAGTCAAGAAGCTGCGAAAGAATCAGACTAGTCACAGAATAGCTGCAAGGACCTGAATAGAAAGTTGAGTAAAAAAAAATTTGGGGAAAAAAGGTATACCAGCAACTGGAGTAACTATAGCCTCGTGAAGCAAAATCAATTTAGCCATGTTGGTTTAAAATTGAAACAAATATAAACCTGGACATTTTTTAAGGTTTATAAAGGTGCAAACTTTTTTGCAAACATGACTTAGCACTGTATTAACTGAACTAAAATATAACAAAGAGTGCAGAGCAGGTTAACATTTCTGTAAAAGAACTATTTAAAAAAATTAATTTGATTTACAACTTTTAAGAGAAATTGGATTTTGAGTTTTCATCAGCTGTATGCTATTATGATAAAAAATAAAGACAAATGCTTAAAAGTATCACAACATACAATAAGTAATTACAGAAGTTTCACTTTCATTAAAATCAATACATTTACTTTTTGGTGACATCCCAGTTTCCTGAGAGGGGAATTAAAATATTAAAAATGAGGGACACAAAAGTGGGGACTGAAAATAGAGAAGGAAAAGTATGATGAAGAGGAGACGGAGAGAGGAAGAGCACAAATCGGAGTGCTGGAGAGAAAAATACGTGCTGAAGTGAAATCCATTTAACTAAAATATAAATCTCTAATCAAAGTCGATGCAGCTGAAGCACAGCAGACGTACATTAAGCCGCTCACGACTCGCCTGACAACGGCTGTAATCTTGTGTATCATTGCTCAATACACAGAGACAATGTAATTCAGTCGCTGCTGCAGGGAAAACTTGGCCCAAGCTCCTTGAACTGTGGTTTAGAGTAAACCAACACTGAGGCCGGATGTTCTGTTTTCATGTCTGCATGAATATGTGTGATTATCTGAGTCAGGATAGCTGAAGGAATTTCTGTGAGCAAGCTCCACATTTGCTCAGACCTAGCAAGTTTTTCTAGAAGGCGCGTCATTCTATAACACTGATTAAGAACTTAAGAAGCAGAAGCAATTGAACGACTGAGACACAATGAGAAAAACCTGGAGAAGAAGGGAGAGAGAGGAGAAGGGGTAGGTAGGACAGAGCTACTCTGTCTCCTGTCATCTGCTACCATCTGTTTCCACTTCTGACTAAGGCTGTAATTGAGAACACTTCTTGCATGAACAGAAAAACATTTCTATCCGCACACACACAAAGAGAACATTTCTGCTCCACAAAGAAAAAAAGAGAGAAAAGAGAAAATAAACCAATGTGGTTTCAGTGACTTTAGCTATACAATCCATACAAGTGCAGGATAAATGAATTTTCTTCTGCACACACAGAACCCCTCAGACACCATCTGGACGAGTTCTGGTCTGCGGTGGAGAGAAGAGAGAGGACCACCATCTTTGTTCTGAGCTCCTGTCATTGTCATAAGACTGAGGCTCTGACCTCCAAAGCGATGGGCGCACTTCCACCTACAGCTGGCAAATCTCCTAAATCTATTATGCGCATGCACATATGCATGCACCTGCAGGAGCTTAAGTATACACAAATCAATCTCTCTCCCAACCAATGGAAAATTGAGCAGAATCCCAAGACATTAGATTATTACCTTTGTTCTGTGTCTTTTTATACTATGTGTACTCTAATGCATCTGAATAATAGTCCTCACAATCAGGAGATGAAGTAGGAAGAAGGAGAAGATGAACTGGCTACTTAAATAGCCAAAATATGAAAAAATAAACTACAATGTACTTTTGATGAATAAGTCTAAAGTTAGAGTTAGTTTTTATCTCCAAAGAGATACAAACAAAAAGCTAACACAGTAACAATACAAATAGTTTTTAGGTCAGTCAAATTGAACATCTTGGAGTTTTTTTATTATGTAGCAAGAGGATGAATAGGATGAACCTTGTGATTATGCAAGTAGGCATTTGAGTGGAAGATTTCAAACAAAAGGCTAGCATCCATGCTAATAAACTTAGAAATGAAAGTAATTTCTTTGTTCAAAATTGTAACTTCTCAACAGCTATTATATTGTCTATTTTTTATGTGTTTTGGAGTATGTAGTCATTGCCTTTAAAAAATGCATACTAATTTAAGTAATTGCATAGTATATGAAATCCATGAAAATATGTATTATTAAGCAAAAGGAAGCATAAGAATATGCTGTTGATTTCAAAGTTTCTAAAAAATTGGAAAATTAACTTGTGTTAAGGCAGCATAAGAACATTTTGTTCTTGGCCTTTTTCAGATGAACCTGACGAAGAAGGGAGCTTTAGCCTCTGTGTCCAACTAATATGGACTTATAGAAAATGAAAATTATAACAAAGTTAACCTCTGACAGGTAGGATATTGACTGCTTTCAACCTTTTAGAAAACCTCTGCTATTTCTTCAAATAAAAACACAAGGATGCAATCAAAATTCAGAGTTCGGTGTAACAACAGAAAATGGGAGATAAGGGTCGGACTGGACAAGTTCAATGTTAGATAAAATAAATCAAAAGTTCTTATAATAAAGACAATCAGTCTAGACGAAAGTGAATAAAACAGCAAGACTGCTTCAAAGCAACGATCTGACGACCAGAGTCTGAGCTGAGATTAAATGTCTGAAGTTAATCTGATGTGAGTGCTCACCATCACATCAAAAATTTGATGCATTTCCCTTCTGAGTCCCAAGCACTAAAACACATCCACACACACATTTCGAGCTCAAAACATTCAGATGCTTTTAATCTACCCAACCTCCACTGCGTATGAGTCGGAGCGCAAACAAAACCGGCTCCTTCTTGATCCAACTGCTTTCCACCAGAAACCCAACAGTCTAAAGAAGAAGAAGTAGAAGACAGACACCGAAGTCAGGCAGCAGCTTAAACCTTTAAAGCAAACATAAATTATAAAGCCTGAACCACTCTGCACGCACAACTTTGATAGCCATTGTGATAAGCAACACTCCATTCAATTAAAAGAATGAACACAAGAAAGAGGAAGAAAAAGGGATTGACGGAGGGGAGGGGGAAATAAGTGTTGGTAAATTACAGGCGCCTGGCAGCTAAACAGACCCATCTGTGTGGAGCTGAGAGCAGTCGGACATCACAGGACGGTCACACACATCCACCCACACAAACGCAAAGATCTGAGCCCCAAGGGATTGGTGATTAAAGCATTTATGGGAATAGTCATTGAGGGATAAAGAGGGCTTTATAATAATGTCTTTGTTTATTTCTTTGTAAGCAGAGTTTGGAGTGGCTGGATTACTGCCATTTCCTGGTGAGCGACTTATTTCCCTAGTTGGCGAGTCTGTTCATCATCACTTTTTTTCTGGTGAAGGACAGGTGTGTGTGAAACAACTTTGTTGTCCCCAATATTGGCCACTGATACAAAAGCCTGAAAACTCAAAATACAACTGGAAAAAGTGTGGAGATTTAACTCTCTTTTCTTCTTCACATCCCATGTCCACAAATGTGTACCGTACATGCAATCTTCAGATCATTCAGTGTTCATTTTGTTCAAAAGTTAATTAAAGTTGAGAATGATCTTTGGGTTTAAAAAAAAAAAAAAAAGTCTCCTTGGTCCATCAGCCTGAAGCTCATCTGATTGCTTTGAAGTGAAGCAAAGATGTCAGATTGGGGTTGAAGTTCAACCATTCACCAGCTTAAACTAATATTCGTCCTTCTGCAACCATCTGATGGCTACACCTACACACACATAATTGGCCTACAAGCCTTGGCTTCACAGAATGAGGAGTTTGGGAAAAACAGACATAGAGCCTGGGAAGAAAAAAAAGGCTGAGGAGCCTCTTGGGGAGTTGATAGGCTGTGGGGGCTCCTCTTTTCAAACATCATTAGGACGTCTCTGTTTTATGTCTCTCGCGAGGAACAACCCCCGCCAAACGGTGACAGAAGTGGGTCGCTCTGCTTAGTCTCGGCCATATCCGGCCCTACGCGACCTGGATTAACGATGACCTGTGAGGGTCAAGTGTCCTTTTGGGCTAATTCGGGTAGACACTGGCCACATATTAGTGGGAATTGGCTCTCACTGGGAATAATCCTCAAGATTATGGTTCAAAGGTCAACTAGATAATCCTCTGATATGAAACACAGAAGCTTCTCATAACCCTGGCCCCTCTTCTATCATTTTGTATCTCTCCCTCCGTAGGCAAACCAGGAAGCCATTTATTTTTGCTTACAGTACCTTGCATAAGTTTTAAAACTTTTTGAACTATTTCGCATTTAGTCACGCTACAACAACTAACTTTAGTGTGTATTCTTTGCGGGGGACTCCATGTGATAGACCAAAACAAAGTAGTGCATAAACATAAAGTGAAAAAACTATATGGCTCTTAAGATATACTAAGAAAACAGTGCAAGCCCAACCTTTGTCAGATCGGACAGGCATCTTTTGAGAACAGCAACTTTTCCAAAAGTTGCTGTTTTAAATTTAATATAAATTGTATTTAAGTATGTACTTTGACTGGGCCATTCTAACAACTTAACGTTTGAATCAATTCCACTGTAGCGATGGCCTCTACTCCAGCCTCTAAAGCTGTGTTCGAAATTGTCAGGTTGTGAGCTTGAATCAGCAACAAGTCATGCAGTTTTTCTTCTATTATGCAGAGTAACTATAAAGTTGACCTTGCACAGGTTGATGTGAGTCCAGTAAAGTACAATTTCTGAAGTTGCATAATGCATGCTGGGCTTAACAAGTCTTACAAGTCTATACATGAAAAGAAAAAAAAATAAAATATGCAACTCATGCTGTTTACAGACAGTTCTAATATACATCATCATAATAAAAACACATTCAGTGAAATCAATCTAAAAGGAAAATCCGTTTTTCCACATGCGTGTTGTATGCCCTGCATGGCTTGAAAAATACTTTAAGCAAGAAATATGGTTTTCTCTTTGCCAAGGCATGTCAATTTAGGTGTAAAGTAAATTTACAAGACCTACAAGTACTGTAGTTCCCGCTCATCATCTTCTTGGCTTCAAAGAGTTGGCTTATTTGTGTCAAAATGGTTTTAGGGTGAATGATGAGGATTCAAGATGGATTTCTGCAATTAGACTCATAAATTGCAAACCCTGTAGCCAATACATATCCGTTCTTGTTTCGTTGTTGTTTTTTTCCCAGTAGTACCATAAGTCAAGCTTCAGTGTAGCAACTCGCGGGAGATGTTAATGGCTCATCTCTGTGGGATTAAAGTGGACAAAGGCATGCATGCCCCCATAAAGGAACAAAATGGCAAACGATAACAGACACAGGAAACCTTTTCGCACAGCAGACCAGACTGCAAGACAGCAGGATGTTCCCATGTGCAGATGTTCCCATAACCTGGTTAACTTTTAAAATCTTCATAAACGGTCCCTGACACACTTGAGGTCTGTTCTAAAACATTTTCTCACTAAAAATTGCGCTCCTAAGGACAAAATTGAAAATCATACTCAGAATTAAGTCAGTTAGTTCATTTTTCAGAGTTGTCTGGAAACTGTCAGTCCACACTCACCTGAATCTAATACATATTCTAAACTAAACTGAACCGCTTATCCCCAGAGTCCCAATCAGCTTCGATCGGGACTCTGAACGAATGCACACACAAACATCCACAATATGACCCAGCAAATGGAGTATTCCACTTAGGAGAACTTTACACACTTGATTGCTTGGGAAAACAGCACTGCTTGGCTTTGCTCACTTTAGCTGTTTCTCAGCTGCACAAAACCATGAAACCGCATGTAGCATCCTGCAATTTAACACGGTGATGCTGAATGGCAAAGTGAAGGATGAGAGGAAATAGAATTAATTCTGAGCCATTCAGCAAGACATAGTGACATACAGATGTCGGGCTATTGAATGTGCCCTAATGCTTTCCCTGCTGCGTTCTTACTCTTTTCCTCCCCTCTTCTTGTCTTTTTCTGAGTCACGGTGACTGCACTCTAGGCTCCCCTGGTTCCTGTACCTGAAAAAGGCCAGTTATGCAACAATCCCCACCCCACCACTCTTCCCCCTGCATGTTGCACTTGAGTACCAGAGATCTGTCCACACCATCTTTTCTTATGTAAGAATATTTACACCCTTACAGTGGTCTCTTCAACTCATCCCAAAAGTTACAGCACCACCAGGAATTGATGCTGTATTTTCAGCACAGCAGAAATAATCCGTAAATTCCCCCCACCACTCAAATTTCGCATCAGGTGCCTAAGATCCCTTTGCTTTTTGAAATACTCCCCTCTTGAACTGCTAACATCACGCCTGTTTCCCAAGACGGAGAGCACAACCTGCTTAATTTAATCAGTCATACTTTTGGTGGCAGCTCCTGCATAAAAAAATAGTTTGTGTGTGTAGAGCAGATACTCACCCCTTCATTAGGGTAAGCCTCCCAGCCGAGGTCGGCCAATGCCGACATGGAGTCTAATAAAGTAACTGCAACAACAGAAGGGGGGGGAAGCATAAACATCAGCTGTTAATGTTCAAGAAAAAACCACGTACATATTTTGAGTTTACTTCAAACATTATGTTCAACTATAAACAGCCACCTAAATGCTCTCAAAATGTTTTCATGAGTCATGCAATGCATCATGTGTTGCTTTTGAGTGTTTTAACACTGGAATCACTATTAGTTTTGGTTTGTAATTTTAACTTCAAAATAAAGATGTAAGGGGAAACAAATATAGTATAGGACAAAGCATCAGAAAAACAAAACAAAGCATCAGAAAAACAAAACATTGCTTTTTACTTACAAAGATAATGTCACATCTTAGAGCCAGAAAAGATGCAAATCTTCAAAGTGTAAAACATAAATCACATATTTGCTTTCAATTATTTTTCAAAGCATATTAATGATTTTAAAATGCATTTTCTGAGAGTCTTTGGGTTCAGGCATATCTACAAAATTACTACTAATATTCAAATCAGTAGCTGTTAGAGCTACTAAAATCTGACAGGATTTTGTGTATAAAAGTGAGATTTTCAGCTGCATCTATTCACCCTTGCAGCAAGGCTTCTTAACTAGCTGGAGACACTTTTCCTACCACAAGTTTCCATTGTGTTATGTATTGATAAAGCCTTGAGCTAAGCCCTGTACTCCTTGTTTTTCCCATATTTCTCACTTTTAGACATAGAAAAAATGAAACTCATAAGAAGCAAGACCAAGCACAAATAAAAAAAGTTTTAAAATAAAGATGTATTTATTTTCATTTACTCAAATTAACAAACAAAATTGTCTTTCAAGGCAAAGTAAATCATTTTACTCACTTAGAATCTGTTTTCATTTAAAATTAATTTTGAACACAGTTAAATTTTCTGTAACCAGGCACAATAGAGTAATGAATGCACAGTGTATTACGTAAAAATAAAAAATAAAAATTATTCAACAGAGCACCACAAAGACATAATTCAAGGAAAGTTCAAGGCCAGTACATGCGACTAGTTATTACCTGTTTAGGTGAGGGGATTTATTCAGGACTGACTCACTCAGGTCCTAATCAGCACCTCTGACCATCAATATTTAATCAGCATCCATCTGCAGAGACCGCTGCGTCTCTGCCTTCAGTTTTTCTCTGTCAAACATGCTGTGTTTTCTGCCAGGTTACATGTTCTCTATTAAAAATCTTAAGGTTAATACCTTCAGCCCCCAGAACACTGATCAAATTTGTGAGCCAAAGACTTAGCGCAGTTTAAGGTAGTAAACATTTAAAATGAAAATGTTTATTTTATGAGAAGCAATAATCAAAATGCATTACACTTTTGCAAATGTGACTAAGTGCTCTTAGAGAATTAAAAGTGCCTGTACTGCTGATGTATGTGACAAAATTGCTTTTTTTTTTTCTTTTTACTATTTTCTGTCCCTCTCTGCTTCTGGGTTTCATGCTGTTCATCAGACGGCTTTTTTCCCCCCTACCCAACACCGCAGGACAGCAGGGTGGGCCGCCATGCTGTGGAGATGTAAGCGTATGTGAATTTTGTGCGTGTGATAGTTCACCTTGTCTTTCCGCCGCACATCGCAGTCAACCAGCATAATTTTACGCATTGTATAATGAAGCAGACAGAGACGTTGCCCAGCGGAGCTGAGCTGATAGACTAAATGAGAGGGATGAGGCCGACAGAGCAGAGAAGAGGTGCTGTGCGGCGAAAGGTCAGAGTAGACCTCCAGCCTGTGCGTGTATTTAGAGCAGCTAAAGACTCTAGTAGAGTATTTTCCTAGAGTTCCAGGGCTTTAGAGTCCCATGCTGAAGCAGGACATAATAGTGTAATCATATATGATTTTAAGAGTGGTGAGCAGCATACTCCACAGTATAATCATGTATCAGGGATCGACAGAAAAGAGATAAAGGCTTGTCAGTGTGGTGTCATAATGCTGTTTTAATGCTTTCACAGATTACAACATTCTTGAATCGAAGGTGTTTAACACTATATATTTTTTTGACATTTACTTGAACTGATTTACAATATATTCTAGTTTTCCTCATTGCAGCCAAAGTGCATCTTGTTGTTCTGATGTAAATCAGACTCACTGCTCTACAACCATAAAAAAAATGGTTGTAGACTAAATGTGTCTAGTCTACTTACATGAACCAAGGTCATTGTTTTGACAACTGTCTTGATAAGCAATGGAGCCTGTTTAAATCTTTCATCCATCAACTCTCCGCAGCTGTCTGGCTCTGCTGGTCAATATGTTGTTCTCTTTGACATTTGGGCTGGTTAAAACAAACAAATGTATTATTTTCTCATGTTTCCCTTCACTAAGTCGGTTTAAGTAGTATAAATCAGATGAAATACTTTACATGCTTAATAGGCAACAAAGTTTACAAAAACTACTGGAAGGCAGCTACCTGCACTTTAGAGAACTGAACTGATCTGCTTTACTATCCCGTGAATCAAACCTTTTTGTCTTGGAAGATAGTGTTCCAGCTAAATGATGCAGCACAGATGGACACATTAAGACAGAACTATCCATTCACATTTACAGACCCATTTAATTATTCAAAATGAGAAAATTTCGAAAGACAACCACTCACTGGTACCAACTTGCTGTCCCAAATCTTAAGTCTTTGGCAACATGACTTCTCCAAGCTAAAACAGGATATTAAAAAACCTGACTGGGTGTTGAGTTGGTTTAAATTCACAAAGTGATTTTATACATATTAAAGTTCAGTGTAGTTTAACACTAGCTACAACAACCATTAGTTTATGGCTTCAATCTACTGCTTGATCATACTAGAAACACTCACCTGTTTCCAAAGCATGTTGTCAATGTATGACTTTAACATGTAACAGATTTGTTTTAATACCCCAACAGGGAGTAGCATCACCTTTTCAATACTCAAACTAGTCAATATTTTGCGCTGTACCGATTTTTTACAGTTCGTGTAGACAAGCTGCAATCACGTGACAAAATAGATTTTTCCAAGATGAAAAATGAGGAACTGGGTGGTGTGAAATACAAGACGGGAATTACAAACACTGGCAAATGCTACCGAAATATTGCACCACACGTTTTATGTGCACGGCTAACTGGCAGCTTTATACCCTTATGAAAACACTGACAAGATTTGTAAACAGCAGGAGATAGATGCCCTAAATTTAACTAATCACATGTGACTAGTTTATAATGTTCCAACATCATTGTAATAATTTGAATCCTCGGAACAGTTGTTCAAAAAGACCACATACTCAACCAATACCAAACGATGTTTGAGAAAAAAGTCAGACTTGACTTTGTGCAACCTTTTGTTCTATGGTGGCAGAAGATAATGTTCTGGTTTTTGCTCTTTTTATACTTCATAATAGACTCGAGTGTAAGATATAATTCTGTAATGTTTTCTGTAAATGGATATTAAAACCTGTAAGTTGCTTTGAAGCCGTCTCTCCTGCACTTCAATGATGTCACAGTGACTAGTCAGTCAACTTGACCTGTTGACCTTGACTTGCAATATGAAGACATGCGACTCCTACTCACCATACTGGTTTGCAGACATAATAAACAAACATTTTGAAAATAAAATCCAGGTAATCTGCACTTTTGACCAAAGTGCAAAGCTTCCAAAAAGAGCTTAGAGCCTCTAGCTAATCTAAAGTGCTACTAATGTCGTTACATATTCAATAGCCATTTTGCAGCCTTTGCGAAACTGCAGCCTACATAAAGCTACACATAAACACTTTTTCTCCACTCTTCACACTTATTGTCAATAACACTTATTAGTTGCAATCAATGACCGGACTCATCAATAATGTATAACTTATGGTTTCCAGTCTGCTGACAAAGCCAGTACGCAAATAGCCTGTGTGTGTGTTCTGTATGCATGTGTGTGTTCAAAAGATGAGAGAAAAATGTAAAGCCTGTATTGTGTTCAAGTCTGACAATCATAAATCTCGATATCTTTTGCCATGTAATCGGATTACTTCACCTTTGCTCCATGTGTTCTGTAGGGAATTGGTTTAATAGGAACTATGAACCTGGACAGAAATGTTAGACTACATTGAAAACCACTAAAGATAAGGCAGATATTGGAATCAAACAATTTTCAGCAATTAGACACCCCCATTTTTGTTCCTTTTTAAAAATATTAATCAAATACTACGAAGCTGTGTTGTCGTCTCTGAATCTGATGTAAGTGATGTAAGTAGCTATTTATGAAAGAAATGGGCAAATGTTTACATGCTGTGAGAGGCGAGACTTTGGCGGACTAAATGTCTAGTTAGCTTAGGCAGCTAAAAGGTTAGCAGCATATACATCATAAATCTGCAACAAAACTAATCCATGGTTCTCTTTTAATAATCTAAAACATAATCACTCACTCTAAGACATGCTTTGTGAAATCAAATCCCCAGCTTGATTAGCAGTCAAATATGACTTATTACGCCCACGCTGCAGCTTCTTTCAAACGCTGCTGCTCTGAGATGGCATAGGAGTAAAAATGTGAGTCTTGGACAAACATTACCTTCACTTTCCCAGGCTCTTACCAGAGGAACTAAATGCTCAGCTCTGTGGATATACACATGTGACCTGATTACTGTGAAGGCTGTTTGGTTACAGAGAGACAAGCTGTCTCATCGATTTTCAGCATCAAACTGTGAGGTTTACATTCTGGAAGTGAAAGATGAGGAGAAAGTGGGGGTGGATGGTGTGAACCTTTGAATTACAAATTCCTCTACAAACGACACTCTAAAATTCTGAAACCTCAACATCCAAGTGTCTTTTTTTTTGTCTCCTCATCTCCCTCTGCGCCTATTTTTTTCCCCCTTCAGAGCCGTTTCCTCTCTCTGGGGTGTCTGTGTCTCCCGTGTTTTATTTTTCTTGTCCCCTCTTTCTCCCTGCTCAATATCTCTCCGCCTCTCTCGCTGGACGCCATCCATGGCTTCAGCTGGGCCGCGAGAAGCTGCAATCCACACGCCAGAAATCAAACAAAGCTGCCAACAGCCAG